TTTTTTTATTTACCACAACATCTTCAAAATCAGGTAATTGGCAAAACATATATGCAGCATATACATATTTCTAAATTGTCTTATATAAAGATCATGTTGTTTACAAAAAGAAAACTTCCTAATCATCAGCTCAGTTTTGACCAAATTGGAAAATTATGATCATATAAGTCATGTACTTCCATTATTACGTAGTTCTTATATTGTTTGCTTCCTTATTATTTTCTAGATAGGGGCCTTAGTATTTTTTCTTGTTTTGTTGATGCCTTTTTTCCAATGGAAATATCGTCATAATTGATTAAATCCACCGACTTCAATAACCCCTTTCGGGGGCCCCCCGTTTTTCAACGACTACGACTGAAGTGTCTCAACTAACAATCTAGGCTTGCAACAGGCACCTTTTCCATTCAAAACGCATACCCACATATAAATGCATTGTAACATTCTAAACAGGTCGTCAAGAATATAATAAACATGCTTAAAGAGCGATTTTAAAATCGTAAACAAAACCACGTGTTTCTTACCTCGCTATCCATTTTTGTTGTGTTCCGAATTATCACGTGACTCGTTTTCAGAAACTTCTGTTGAATAGTCATCAGCAATGGCGCGTAGAACCAGCGGGACGATTCAAATTTACATTTATTATGAGGACAGATTTCTAGTGTTTGGTGGCAAGACGAATCGACAACTTTGGTTGGATATTCTAATTATGTATTGATTTAAAGGTATATCAATTTCTCTGTCAATCTGTGAAAATGCAAAAAAACGTTTCCGGCGTCATGTATCTCTTTAAACACATTGTTAAATGTATTCTTAATCGGTTACAGTTAAAATCTTAATTGTTCAATAAATACAATAATGTTATTCTTTACACAGCTGATTAAAGGTGTATCAATGTTTATATAGCAATATATTCTAACTGTGTTCACCTATGCCAGAGACGTATAACACATACACGTCTCTGCCTATGCGAAGCCCTACCCTACGTACGTACACATATATGGCACGGCGTATAGCTCAATATCTGTACATCGTATGAATTAAATTCACGATAACTCAATCATTTTTCAATAAATCAAATTAAAATTTGGTATAAAGGTGTATTATAGTTATAAGAATAACATATCCTCTGATGTCGCTTACTTAATCGATTAATTTTAGAGATACAGTTTGAAGACGCTTCTTCATATGCTGAGTTCTATTCACACACGTATGCCACGACGCCGATCGTAATAATAAATTAATCATAACTCGATCCTTTTTTATCGAGCTGAAATTTGGAATATATATTTATAAAAGCCTAACTAATAACATATCTTCTGATGTCGCTTACTTTAGCGGGTAATTGTAACGATATTATCTGGCGACGCTTTCTTCACTTTACATGCTAATACACACATGTGCCACGCTGCGATCGTAAAAATTCAATTCAGCATAACTCGGTCATTTTATCAAATATCAAATTAAAATTTGGTACAGAGGTGTATTATAGTCATATTAACAACATATCTTATGATGTCGCTTACTTTATTCAGTATTTTTTAAGATTCTTTCTGGCGACGCTTGTTGTCACTTGAAGACGCTTGTTGTCGGTTGAAGACGCTTTTAAGCGAGACCGTTTTGGACTGATGTTGAAAAATTCAGATCATGTATCTGGACTGTTTCTTGATTCTTGTCAACGATAACCCATGATTGTTCAATTTCAGAAAAAGTTTTGATTCTATAAGTAATTTGTTTTTCAAAATAGAACCCTAAACTCCCAGTGAAATTTCGTCCGTTTTTTGGCCATGATTACCATATCACAGCCCATGAAACTTGTTTGTATTAAAACTAGTTGAGGTGCCGACATCCTTGATATCCAGGAGTAGTGGTATTTTAAAAGTATTAAACGGTCCATGCAACAGTTTGTCGTCCATGCTAATGTCCATGCTAATGTTAAACCAATGGGGAAACACGTCCATGCTAAAACGGACGGTCCATGCTAATGTTAAAATGTAACGGCCCATGTAACCTTACCTGAATGACACGGTGATAAAGATGAAGCTGTGACAGAACGTGACATCTAGTGAAAAGACGAAGCCATGACACTAATGATCTGAACTTGAATGACACGGTGATACGAGCCGACTCTTAACAAAAAAAATACGTAAAATTATCAACACCGAATATACGAGAAAAACACCTAGGTGGTACGGCCACCGATGTGACATCTAGTGAAAAGACGAAGCCATGACATTATGATCTGAACTTAACGATACAATTTCAATTATATCCCCACCCAATATCAAGTCACGACATAAAATCTGCTTCAAAATTGACCTCTGTATATAGCCGATTGATGTGTCCAAAAACAGATCAGTTATAAACTTGAACCTGTACAGACTTGGAGTTATGGATAATGATGACTGCAGAAGCTTTATTAAGAAAGGGAAAAATAGTAAAATGCGCTGTTTTGTTATTGTCTTCGATACTGAAAGTGTTCACCTCAATATAAATATTAGTCATGATATCCAAAGTGACTCCATCAAAGAGATCGTGGATGTTAAAGAAACTCTACTTTCTAATGAACCATTAATTAGACATGGACCAGTAATTGTACATTCAGAGTTAAGAGATACGGATCGCATTCGCATGGAGAATAAAGGACTGTATTTGGATGTTTCGCTATCATTTGATAAAATACAGAGAGTGGTAGTGTTAAACCTAAGATTATTTGAAGAAGTGAAAATTATTATGTCATATGGTACCTTTAATATTGAATCAGATGAAAAAATCATTGGACCTTCCACTCTCCATAAAACAATGGTGTTTAAAAACTTTTAAATTTGCAATATCACGAAGACAATAACTCTGGAACTGTGCTGCAATCTTCATTTGACAATCTTTGGCAGACTTGACAGACGGACGGACGACTTTAATCCAGCCTGACATTATATGTCAGACAGTCCAAAGCCTGTAAAACCACAACTACCAATCGCCAAAGTTTTGGTTCACTGGTAAAATGTGATAAATGGAGATGGAAGTCGACAGACAGTTTTTTCTATTAAAGATTGACGTTACACCACAAAATCAACCATTAATTAAAACACAGTAAATTCCATCATTAATTACCAAAAGATATTTCATCAAATTGTTTACGAATCTTATAGGTTTTGAATTTGATCCATATATACTCGATATATAAAAACTTTATGTATCGTATAATAACCAATAACTTCACATGGTAAATAAAATAAACATATCGAAACCTTAGAAATACGTCATGTTTTTAACCGCTGCAGTAAAATATATGAAAGTGTCCATCTTTTTCTTCATGATGTGAGAAATGTTAAGGTATTACACTTCAATTTAAAAGACGACGAAACGTTTTAATGGTTCATTGATTAATATCGACATAAAATAAGCCTGTATTCAACGATAAAGTGGATACCTACTATCTGAGAGAGCATATGTATCGAACTAAGAGAGCAAAGTAGGTGGAGCAAATGTTAACAGGAGATGACGACTGAATCCTTCAGGAAAATTATCAAGTAACGATCGCATAGTACACCGTAAAGTTAGTAACAATGTCAAGAGCGTGAACATTTGCTACATCAACACGTTCACTATTCATCAGAAAGTAACATGTCAATAATTATGATTTAAAAGTGACTGAACCAAATTGTGGAAAACTGCGATTTCAGTAATTACTTCAAGCAAGCAAACCTTGTGTATTAATACATCACTGAGTGTTATTGTAAAACTTCTATAGACATGTTGCTTAGGTTTGAATTGTACAACTAAGAATAATAAGAAAAGATAGATTTCAAATTAAAACATTTATTTTAACGCATCACAATAAATGAAATAGACATACATTTCTCCCTGAGAATTGATCACATGTAAAATCACAATAAAATATACTTAAACATTGACAAATGACACATCACCAAAAAATGTAAACAACACACCGAGTATTGATTAGATGTAAACAATTATAACATTGAAAGCATACAGTCACGTTCACACAACTATCCGTCTACCCTTACACACACACACACACATTCACCTGAGTATTGATTGTAATTATCACAGTTAGACATATAAGAAATAGACATACAATGATATGATTTAAATTAAACACACCTGAGTAATGATTGTAATTATCACAGTTAGACATATAAGAAATAGACATACAATGATATGATTTAAATTAAACATTGGTGTAAAAATGATCATAATAATGGTACATCACAAAATGTAGACATCACACCGAGTATTGATTAAATATAAAAAAATATCGCATTGAAAGCATACACTCACACACCTACCCACAGACCATACCCATCCACCCTTACACATATGAAAGACACATGACAAAAAATAAACCAAAAAGAGACACACATTCCTGAATTTATATGCATAAAGTTCTTTTTAAGTGTTCTGGATGCTGGCACAACTCCTAACATCCCAAGCGGCTACGTAGGAAGTAGCGAGGACGCTCCTCAACTTCTACCTCCACTTCCACAACTTAAATATAGAAACAATCTCTTAAAAAAACTTTTAGAAACTTTTTTCCATTGTATTGGACGGTAAAAAAATTCTTATAAAAAACCATTATTACACATTCAAAACTGGTGAAGAAAAAAAATCAATATAAATTCTTACCTGGCGACCTCTCTGGGGAGGCTACTCTGAAGAGGAGGAGGAGGGGGGTAGTAATTCTGCCAGAGAATCTACAATTTAAATTATATCAAGTAATTAGTCAAAGAAATAAGAGCGAAAACAGAGAACTCTCTGATGACAATAATTGATTGTAACTATATGGAATAAATGATAAAAAGTTTATCTACATACCTTCAAACAAACCCCCCTCCTGCTCCATCTTCACCGTTATCACCTCTACAATAATAAGAATCCAAACATTATGTCTTTAAAATACAATTCATTGTGACTTCTCCAATGGTACAGTATTCCTCCGCTATGTAGACATTTAATACAAACTGAGAATTTTAATGTTTAGAATGGACATGAACTGTGAATATATGCATAAAAGTACCTTTTTGAATGGGGGTAGGACTGGTAGAGGCAGGAGTTGGGGAGGGTAAGTCCTCCATCTCTATTTCCTCTGCAATGTATATACATTACTAGAACTTCGAAAATAACAGAATAAGTCATAATGAAATGTGTATATTTAACGTTGATATCATTTACAACCTTACAGACATTCAAGTCTTCCCTCATCCGATAGATCTGACGGAGCTGGACCTGCCTCCTCCACCTAATGAGTAAGACTATAACTGGAAATGGATACATTTTTCTTACAAGGGGAAATTCGACTAAACGTATCATTTTTATTTTACTTCAACCATCTTCACACATTTGCAAAGATGCTAATGATGATTGATCTAAATGTAGTTATGATGAGAATATGAAGAAAATCATAATGTCTTATTTTAAAGAAAATGTCTTATTTCAAAGAAAATGTATAAGATTTTAAGAAATCATAAGTACCTAACAACAATGACAGTACCGCTGCAATTGTTAGCACCACCACCACAGAAATCTCCAAGGTGGTGGCCTCTGTGGAGACGGCTGCCTCGCTGGTGGTAGTGGAGGCCTCTGCAGTGGTAGCGGCAGCGGCGGCCTCTGTGGTGGTAACCTCTGTGGTGGCGGCCTCTCTGGTGGTAGTGGTGGTCTCTGCAGTGGTAGCACCAGCGGCAGCCTCTGTGGCGGTAACCTCTCTGGTGGAAGTGATGGCCTCTGCAGTGGTAGCGGCAGCAGCGGCCTCTGTGGCGGTGACCTCCGTGGTGGCGGCCTCTCTGGTGGTAGTGATGGCCTCTGTAGTGGTAGCGGCAGCGGTGGCCTCTGTGGCGGTGATCTCTGTAGTGGCGGCCTCTCTGGTGGTAGTGGTGGCCTTTGCAGTGGTAGCGGCAGCGGTGGCTTCTGTGGCGGTTACCTCAGTGGTGGCGGCCTCTCTGGTGGTAGTGGTGGCCTCCGCAGTGGTGGTGTTGGCGGCGACCTCTGTGGTGACATTCTCCTAAAGAACAGTAGTTAGATTGTTCTCAAAAGCCTTAGCCATTTCAGAATGATTTTATACCTAAGACACTTACTTGATATATATCAATAATTAAATGATAGTTGGTGTAATCTGTAACAACAGAGGTCGAGTAATATAAACCGCTTAGTATAAATTGATTGATCAAGTATTGACCTTAATAGATATGAAATATCTAATATGATATGAAATATCTATTTAGACAGTAATTGAAAAAAAAACTGGGGTACAGAATATAGGTGATTTGGAATATATATATATATATATCAGATTAAACTTTAAAAGAATACAAAGATTATACTTACACAGTCGACCACCTGCCCCTCCATCAGAGCGCAATCTGCCGCCTCCCGGGGATAGATGTGGATGGAAGGAGTGTAATATATACACTCCCCCAGGAGACGGTCACCGCTCCGCCATCCTTTGATGATGATGGCTGGCTGGTCGGGGGGTGGCGGGCCGCAGCAGATGGTGAACGTCATCTCCACCCCTCCGACCAGCCAATCTTCATCCATTCTGCAAGAGAACACATCTAAATTTGTGTCGTCCCTGTTGATGATACACATCCCTGTATCATCAACAGGGACGATAGAAACAGCAGTACGACTGTAGGCAGATACACCATGTTTGTTGTATTGACCTAGTCCAGCCACGGCTTTGCACGTGCGTTTTACGAATTAGCGCAAAAGGTCAGTCGGTCACCCGAAAGGTCAGCCCGGAAGCGTTCGGTTGAAATAATTTAAGAATAATGACTTCATCGATTGGGAAAAAACTAGTATCAATTGAAGTGATAGAATAGGTAAAAAAGATCATCTGACTAGTATAGAAGATATAAAAATATAGTTGTAAAATATCACTTGATTAGTTCCTTTGTATTTAAAGTAATAACTACATCGATTGAATAATTAGTATTAAGTGGAGGTGATAGATCAGGTACTGTCGTAGTATTACGCCATATTGGAGGTGATAAGCCAAGAGAGAGATAACTCGGGGTTAAACATTCAATATAAATATTACTCTTTGATGTGGGATTATGGATATAAAAATACGTCCACATTTATTCACAAGCTGTAGGTAATACACATAACTCTTATATCTACCTATTAATGAAAGTAATTTGAATGCTGACACCGTCTAATTTATCAATTCATTGTTATGCTTTTATTTTAATGATGCAAGAGTGTTGTGAGAAAAAATATCTTAAGTTTCCATAATTTTGCAAGTTCAGCAACGATGCCTAGTCAACCGGTTGAGGTATAGAATCGGGACACACCCAGAATTCATGTTTTTTTTTTTTTTTTACAAGACCAGCATCGACGCTCAGTCAGTTGAGGTATGTCACGTCTTAAAAAATTAATACACCTTCTGAAGAAAACTGACATGTTCAACATTCCATGAACTTTTTTCATTGGTTGTTCCGATTCTACCCCGTATCACACCTAAAGCGGCTATATAAAAAGCGCGCCAACACCGCTAACCGTTACTTTTAGCGCTAAAAATGGCTCAACAAAGTCTTTACGGGGTTATAGAAATGAAAGAGTTTGAAAAAGGAGGCAAAATAGAAAAAAATCTGGTTATGAGAGTCAATGCAACTTCTTTCCTGGAGTCAATGAGTATTTTATTCATATTAACAAGAAGGATAGGAAATACTATTTACCTCTAAGCTGGAGTGAGCTTGACGATTTGGGTCTGGAAAGTCTGAAGGAAAAGTTCCGGCAAAAGCTACACTTGTTGGTAAGTATCTTACTCTTATTATCGGTATTCTTATTATACGAGAACCAATATTGTATGTGTATAATCGTATTACACTTTCTTACAGGGCAATGGAGTGGTAGATGAACCTAACGCCAAATCGGCAAATGTGAGTATTTCAGTGTAAACAGAAAAAAAGATTCGGATTTCAAAATCGTAATTTTATCAATACAATATCATTTTTCATTCTTCATAGAGTAACGGTCCACGGGTTCACCCTTATCAGAGAACAACTCCTAAGCTGCAGTATCAGGACGAATTCGAACAGTACTTAGCAACACAGCAGTTCCAGTAAAGCTGGAGTTATTCCCCTTTGGACACTTCTTTTTAACTTCGTCGGACTGTATCTTATATATGTAACGTGTACCATTAAAACAATATTGATATGTCTTCACCTCAAAATATGTATCAAAAACGTCTCGCTAAATCTCTCATAGATATAAACGGAGATGTATTATTTAGAGATACATCGTATTATGCTACTAATCTATGTTTTATCAGTATTTTATTTGGCTGCCACGAGGTCGACATGTAGAGTTGTGATATTTCGTTATCTTGTAAAAGCCATAAAGAGGCGTTATCCGGAATTCAAAAACGAAAATGACTTCTTTATCGATAGTGTAGTAGAGTTAAAATATGGGAGAGTTCGTTCCCACATGAAAAGGTTGACGAGACATCGATATTACTGTAAAGTAGAAGCCATTTTTGGTACCTATGATGAGTCGGTGTTAGATTGTATATCGGAATGCAGAGAGAACTAAACGACTTGTGTTCGCTTTGAAATATCTTTTTATTAAGAAATAGAATGATGTCATACAAAACATAAGTGAAATGTATTAATAACCTGAAAATGTACACAATATTTTTATTTTTTTTTGCAAAATAATTACACTATAGTAATACGTGGTCTCTCATAATTCATATGAATTCTAAAACTTCGACGTTATATGATACGTCTCATACTTCAACTTTAAATATTCTTATTCAAACCTTGTTTTTTCCTTAAAAATTGATAATCAACATGTATTCTCCCTCTCTCTCTCTATATATACATTTTTGTTGAACTTATAACAATATTCAAGTTATTTTATCTGGCGCAACTTAAAAATTTCAAACATAAGATTAAGTATGCATGTATATGACGTCTCTAATACTTCGACTAACTTTATGTGACGTCTCTCTCATACTTGTATACTCTGTAACCTTTAAATGACACCTCTCATACTTTAGAATTACAATGCTGCATAAACTTTTAAGGATGTCTCTCATACTTCAGAATATATAATCATCATGTAACCTTTTACTGATGTCTCTCATACTTATATGTCATGTAACCTTTAAATGATGTCTCTCATACTTCGATCAACTTTAAATGATGCCTCTCATACTTCCTTTTTCTTAAACTTTGACATAAATGTGAACTTAAACGTTAAATATGAACTTTAAAACTTTTTAAAACTTAATTTTTGAATTCATTTTAACTTTAAAATTTTTGAATTCATTTCTAATTTTAACTTTAACTTTTTTTTTTTAAATTTATTTCTAATTCGAACTTCAAAAACTAAACACGATTTTGAAATGTAAAAATTAAATTGAAACTTTTTTTAAAATTAAACTGAACTTTATTTTTTCAATCATGAAGTTGGACTTTATTTCTTTTTCAACTTAATTAAACGGAACTTTATTTCTTTTCCAACATAATTAAACGGAACTTTATTTCTTTTTAAATATTAGATTAAAGCTTTATTTCTTTTTAAACTTAATTGAAATTGTTTTAATACTTTCGTTTTTAAATATAATCTTCTGAATATACAACATAAATGATTTTGTATTTAAACGGAACGCAACTTATAAGTTTTACGGTATTTTTTTCATGACGACTTCGGTCCGATATTTTAAATAAATATTTGTAAAACTACATTTCTGTTTTTTATTGCCATCCCATGGTGGAAATTATGTAATGACCGAATGAAAGCGTATCATACCGATTGGGTAAGACCCAGCGCTTATCGTCGAAGGAACACAGGCCCGATTTTGCACATTTTCGTTTTGTCGGCGAATAAACAGTCTCTGTACATTTCGTGCCTAAGATCACGTCTGATGGTCGCCTTTGCGATACCTTTAGCTACCTGTTTTTCTTTCATGTCGTTCCATAGGACTACCAGATTTTCTATTTCAGTTCTATTTCTCACGGCGTACACGTACGAATACATTTTGGCACGAAGTCCTACGAACTCTGCAATGGGCTCACTTCCCGTTTCGTCCTTAAAATATCCCGGTATCTTTTTGTTTCTTGTGTCTTGACAGCGATGGTCGATCGGATAATTGGACAGATCAAACAGATGTCTGTCCCGATACATGTCGTCATAGACGTCCGGACATTGGACGTGGTACAAAAGACTGTCCGTATCCGTCATGAGTAGCTTGATTCCATCTCCGTATTTCGGTTTTAGGTACTTGTAATAAAACTCGTACATGATACACTTGGACAGATCTAGAATGGTCTGTCCTACATATACTGGTTTGTTTAGTACGAGTTTGACTTGGTCGTTTTGAACGGCTACTAAATCTTCGTTAAAGATAGTAAACCTTTGAAATGAAGGTCTGGCCACGTACTTTTTGAGTTTCTTTTCCGTGTGTGCCAGCTTGATATCGACTCTGGAGCGCACGTTCTCCATCGTCTTACCGAACACGGCATTGTTCATGAGTTTAAAGAAATCTTTCTCGAACTCATTCGTACATGCCGCTCTTTTTGACGTGTTGAATTGTATGTACGGGCGTAACCAAGGTTTCTGTTTGAATTCTAGGATTCTGTAAATTTTGGTGACTTTGAGACCCAGTTTCACGTACAACAGCAAATTTCTGTAATTGCAGATGTATTTCGTCTTGTTTTCTAATGTGGGAATCAGTTTTTCTGTCGGAACGCGCCCGTATAATGTGTCACCAGTGTGTTTGGGGCTAGGATGTAAACTTTTCCACAGCTGTTTACTAGTTGGTGACAATTCATTGTCGGAGACTTTTTTGCGTTCCGGTGCGAGGGGGTAATCGGTATGGCTGTCGTGAAGTTCGTCTGGGTATTCCAGATCTACTTCGAGTACATATCCCAAGTCTCCGTCTTTGGAGACTTTGGTTATGTCAAATGTGTGTGGATTCTCCACCCACCGAAACCCGCCGACGGGTAACGACTCCGACATGGCCTTCCCGTACAAATTATTACAATCTGTGTACATGATGTACGAGTGTGGTTGGGAGAGGTCGTACGTTTCTGGAATGTAAGGATTGTTAGCTTGAGCGTATTTGTTTGATATCATGCTAACTCCACCTCTCACTCCGTTTTCAAATAAGAGATACATGTCTGGATCTCTGATGAGTTCTAACCTCACTCCCGTCATTTTTAAGGCTGCACTCCAAGCCAACCCTGGGCTGGTATAGAAGTGAGCCGCATCTAACCCATAATAATCGAGACACATGTTTCTGAAGTTCTCAAAGACATCGGCCAATAGTAGTACGTCCGTCTTGAGGTAGAGGTCGTGATACTGACCGAGGTCTCGAATGTTCAGTTTCTCCCATACGGATTGTGCATGCGCGTAATCAGCATCTGTCACGTCTGATCGACTCAGCGAACTGTAGAATTTCTCTTTTGAGGGGAGCTTTTGTTCTGAGAATCTATCGGCAGTGTCTACGTATTCGTAGGGATATATCCCTTTTCTTAGTAGTAATTTGGCGTCTGATTCGGTAAACTCCCTAGAGAAGTTATTGAATTTCGTCAAACCCTCTTTGGCAAGATTTTCTGTCAAAGTCTCTAGACTCTGAGACATGAATTGAAACGAATCTATGAATCTAATATCGCCAAGACTAAACGAAATGTACTTTTCTGTATTGTTTGGAATGCAGTTGATATTGCGGTCTTTAAATAGACCCACGCTTTCCGTCAGGATGTGAGCATCGAACCCCTTTAGGTTATGAAACACACAAGGTATGTGAGTGGGGTATTTATACTTCAAATTGCATTCGTTGTGAGCGGCGCCGCGAAATTTCCCACTCAAATGACAGTGATCTCGTACCACATTATTTTGTTCTGTAAAATGTTTACCACAGATATGGCACCGAGCACTCTCCATAAACGACTGCTCGTCCTGGAGACATGACTAGCGGTTCTGGGTGGCTTAAAACTTCTTTAATTCGTTTTTCTTCCTCTATGATACATTTCAAAAACGTTTTGCTAACGTCAGCCCCCCTGTAAATGACGGGTGGTTTGGTGTATCTATCTTCCATACACACGACTTGGTATCCAAACCCACAGGGTTTGAATTTTGTATTCTTAGTCGTGCTTGAAAGGTCTGGGTTGGGCTCACATGAGTCCATTTTCTCTACAAATGTTTCGAAATCGGCATAGATTACGAATGGCACTTTCATTTGTTTCTGAAAGTCTCCAAACGACAACAGAGCGTCGTCTTCACTGGGGAACTCTACTCTCTGTGTCTTGTGAGTGGAACACAGTTCCACGTGTTTGTTTAATAAAACACTACTCGTGAAACCTTGCAGGCAATGCTGGCAAAAATGTGTCAGATTATGCCCTTTTTTCGTTCTGCTCAAAAACATATTTAAATTGGGAATCAAACAGTAATGGGTTTTTACACCTTCTTGTAAAAAGAGCAGATTGACATGGTGACGGGACTGTTTCGTCTTGGTCACATGCATGGGATAGACGGTTTTGTCCTCGAGCCCAAACACGTTTACCGATACGTCGTTCTGTCTTTCAAACTTTTGTACTTGGGAGATGGAGACTGGATATTGGATACCTGTCATATCTAGTTCGCTTTCGTACTTCTCGTAATGGGAGACGCGTTCGGGTAAGGTATCGGCAGGATGGAGAGATGCCAAAACGGACCATAAGAAGCATTTTTCGTCACGATTACAGACATTTACTATTTTGTGACGTTTAAAAGTAGTCGGGGTCGGTATGTAGGAAGTGCCACTCAAAGGTGAGTAATTTGCAACGTGTATTTCTAATTTGATGATTTTCTTGAGTACCCATGCAGACCCCTTACGAACGAATTCCTCAATCGAGGCAAACATTTTCTGATAAGCTGCATTGATATCGTGTTCTAGACCAGAATCATTTGGCATCAATATGTATGCTTTACTCAAGAAATGTGGGGTGGTCTGGACTACATTACCTTCTCTAGTTTCCTTTTCCAATGAAACACGAATGTTAAGATACCACTTAATTCCGTTCAATCTCTCACACAACAGTTTTAAATGTTTCATCACTTCCGTTTTGGAGCTGGCAAAAAAAGTGAGTATGTCACTATTGTCACTGAAATGTGGATATATGTTTCTCACGTTAGCATTTCCTCCCAAGCTCACATCATCCGAATAGGTATGTTCTCCCGTTGGTTGGCCAGTACCGGAGGGGCCCGGCAGCGGCGACTGGACACCGGAGGGACCCGGCAGCGGCGACTGGACACCGGAAGGGCCCGGCAGTGGCGACTGGACACCGGAAGATGATGATGTTTTGGTTCTAAAATGATCAGGTAATCGGCTACCGGTGGGATTAGTATTAGGGAGATCTCCACCAGTCAATCCATGTTTGTTTTTAACGTGCATTTTCAAAGTATATTTTCTCGTAAAGGAGTTACCACACACGTGACATTTGTATGAACTTTGATTTTTGTGAGAATTCATGTGTCTCTGTAAGTTGCTTGGATCGTTTAATATCTTTCCACACACTTTACATGTCGATTGAAGATAGTGTCTATTCGCGTGCGCCTTTAGTTTCTTTTCGGTAAGACATTGTTTCCCACACACATCACAAGTCGTCACATTTTGTCTATCTCTGAGTACGTTATCTTCATTTCTTGGTTTTTTCTTTGGAGATAAATCGATAGAGTTCAATATCCGTTTCAAGTTCCTCGCTGTTTGTATGGCATTTCCGTCACCACATGACGCCGAATCGAGTAAATCGTCAAAAAATCGTGCTGCCATGTTGCTGGTCTGGTTTCATCAGAGTTCATATCTTGAATGACAGCCACTTACGTCTCATCTGTTTAAGGTTGCTCTCGAATTGAGGAGGCGTAGTCTTCACATACAGTTTTCCGCCTCGCTGACTCTTTGCTTTTCCGCGCATGCTTCGTCTGAGTGATGTGGCTCTATCTCCCTGATTGGTCGATTCTTTACTGGACTGTTCCCTGAACTGTTTCTTTGACTCATTCATCACATCTGACGTATCAGGTGGGTCGGTTTCATTCTTATCGGTATTCTTTGTTATTGCTACACTGGTCTTTTCTCCCGACTTCTTCATTGCAATGGGCGTCCTATCATCGGTTGGGATGACGTCATCTTCGATAGTGCTCATGTGGGTATTAGGTGAACCGTTCATTTTCTCTTGTTTAATGATGTCGTCGTATTTTGTCTTTGGTATCAACATCATTGCTCTATCCATGTTAAATAGTTTTTAAAGAATATGGGTAATATTTTACTCACTGCCAGTAGTCTTCGTCTTCTCTGACGTCTACTGACTTCTATGTCAGAACCGGCATCGTTGAGCCATTTCCCCGTCGATTGTAACATGTTCCTCAGAACGGAAATGGTAGTCTGACCACCGGTCGCTCCGTACTTGAGTTTTAAAGGGTTGCCACCCACCGGTATTCCGTCGACATAGAACCCTATAGATGTGACGTCATAAGGTTAGAAGAACCAAGGGTTCTGTTCATAGTCACCGGTGGTAGCGGTGGCGTTTACGAATCCAACTACCACCAGATTTGGTCTCATGCCTTGAATATATTATCGTATGTAAGTTTGTCGTCCCGGCAGGAATGGTCATCTGCTTAACCATGGTCTGCGTAAACGGGTATTTAGCATTGGTCACTTCTAAAGCTTGACTTTGTGCATAGATGACGGCTGGGTTGACCTTGACTTTGCTTACACGCAGTCGAATGTCGTCGAATACTACCTTGTAATCGGCAGATGTGGTGCCGGACAAGAGACACAAAATTGGTTTAGATCTGTAAAGTTTGATATTGACGTTGACTTGATTCAATAGATACATGTCCATCTTGAACAAATCGTGATAGAGCGGGCCGAACAGATCTACCACCTTCCCACCTTGAAACATCTGAGCCCTTTTTAGCAACGCTCCGTTTGAACCGGTTCTAGGACTGTGTTCGTCCATGTCTCCCTCATCATCCTTATCCCACATCTGAGTAGTCAATTGGGTCGTCTTTGCTTCTATACCATATTTCAGGAGACTCTGTATGTAGGCCTTGCAAGGGTAATGGTTGGTCGTAGATACGATGGTCTTCCCCTGTACGGTGACGTCCACTTGAGAAAATAAAGAAGGTAAGAACAAATTGACAGGTCCCACGTCTTCAGTAACAGCTATGGCGCTTCCGTCTGCTTTCGTTATTTTTACCTTGGCATATATCAAAGTGTTTCGAAAATCGATCAATTCCAATCCGTTCTGTCCACTGACGACGAATTCCACAACGGAATCGCTCGTAATCTGTGATATCGGTAACACGTCTTGATAGTAAAGGTTTTCTACGGCCGTCTGTGTTGGTGGAAGGTCAAACACGGCTAATTCTGACGGTTGTGCTTCTCTAAAAAAATCTTTGTTTAGCGCAGCCATTGTGATATTAGATTCCTTTTGGGTTTTTTTACCGATTTTCTGCTCACTTTACTCGCCTTCCGTTTTGCTTTACCTGTCTTCCTTTTACTCGCCTTCCGTGATGATTTAATTGTTTTTGGTTTCTTCAGGTGTGACCGTGAAGTGTGTACGCGTCGACGCTTTCTCGTAGACTGACGACGATGTGGACTTCGTTTCCTTTTCATCTCGGATTTAGCTTGTTCTACGGCTTGTTGAGTTGGAGAGACCATGCTTACGTTAACCTCTCGCGCAGGTAAAGATTTTTCTCCCTCTCTATCGGTTTTGTCTATTGGAATCATGAATTCGTTTGAATTCTGTGACACTCCTCCACCGAATTGCTTCACGTTACGTTTCGTATTGGTCGCATAGGCATTTTCCTTTCCACGTGCCACCTCTTGGTAATATTTTATCCATTTTCCCACGTTAGGAACGTACATCTTTGTAACATTCATGATAGAAAAGGATATTGTTTAAAGTGAAGCGTAATCGTCGCCTGATCTTTTAAGAATGAAGCCAGATCACCTTTATCCGTCTTTATGTAAAATTCTATGTCTCTCACTTCCGACTTTTTCACAGGTACGTAGTATGGAACGTCGAACGATTGGGACCAGTTGGCTACCTTGACGGTTCTGATGGGACGGAGAAGAGTTTCCTTTTCACCGTCGACGATGCTTTCGTCACACACGTCACTGTGTACGTATAAGTTCTGTCTCGTCTTTGTCCCAGTCGTACTTAACGTTATGTCCATCAACGCCACCTTCCAAGTTCCGTGCAGATTTAGTGGTGTTTGGAAGTGTGTGCCAAATTGGTAAGGTTTGTTTTTTGAAAAGTATTTCTCACTTCCGTCACTGTGGATGACCACGTAATGCGACATCTTAGACCTTGGTTATGTCACTGATGTCATTCTCTGCTATCCACTGGTTATATTTAGATGGCCACCCTTCAAATTTGACGAACCATTCGATCCGACCTGCTCTCTTACGTTTTTTTAATTTTTCTTCTATAAACCACAAGGCATTTTCGTCCTTGTCCACTCTCTGTAGTTCGGACTGATAAAAATTCCCCGTGATCGACTCGTTTAAAAAGTCGATCAATTGGTACTGCGGTATGCCTTGGCGTAAGAACCGTTTCTTAACCTTGAAGATTTCTGAAGACCATTGCTGTTGATAG